GGGGAGGGGAGCGGCCCGTCCGCCCGGCGCCCCTGGGCGGAGGCAAAGCCAGGAGAGCCCCGAAGTGAACTGAGGGGCGAAGTGGCCCGGATTTGCTGGGTTTCACCCAAATCCCTACTGGGACAGCGCTGGAGGCGAAGCCCCTGCGCTGCATCGCGCTGCTGCGGGTGGCAGCGCCTCGGGGCACCCGTCGGGGTTTCTGACCCCGTCCGTTTGGGGAAAGTTTGGTACGTTTGTGTCAAAAAGACTTCAGGAGCATCTCGTGGCGCTAAGCGGTGCGAGGAGGCAGCTGTAATGGCCTTCGTGGCAAGCCAGAGACGGGTCGGGCAACAAGCTCACTCAGCCTTGCCGGCCACGTTGGGTGAGCCAATACAGCGGTACTTGGACCAGGCCAGATAAAACACCACCCTCCTCCTTTTTCCGCCCCAGGTCAGAGTCCGAGTGCCGTGGAGGATATGCTGGATGTTGAGAACAAGCGCATGGCAGACAGCCTGGCCAACAAGGTCACCAGGCTGAAGTCGGTGAGTTGCCGAGTTCGCGTCAGGTGCCGCGGTGAAGGAGGGACAGGGCATCAGTTACTGAGGTTGTGTGTGCAGGGTCTTGCGGGAGATGCAGGCCTGGGGTCAATACGGAGTGGTTCCTGTGTAGTAATGACTCTTAGTTGTTGGTGATACAATGGCCAACTTTCCCTTGTGAAATAGTAGGGCTGGCTTTATGAATTTCCACTTTCCTTTTGAGGTTTAGTAACATCATCTCGTGGGAATGATGTGGGTTTTGCAGCACTCAGGGAAGGAGTTTTAGGCACAGAGAGAAACATAAAAGCTGCACAGAGGTGTATTGCTAAGGGCACCTCCTCGGGGAAAAGTCACAATAAAAACGCAGGTAAATTAGTTTTGAAAAATGCACATGTCTCTATGTAAGTGGTGTTCTTAAAGCTAGTTTGCTCCTAGTAACATCAAATACTTTGATTTAGAGCTTAATAGAAGCCAGTGAGTTGCCTTGTAGAAGAGAAGACTCTGAGTTCCTGCTGTTGTGTCCCAGTGTTTAAATGTTCCTGTCCTGTATATGACAATTTCCGAATGTCAAACTTTATTTTCAGTGCTGCAGAGCTGAAAAAGTTCGACAGCCTGAAACCGAAGTGAGAATCTTGCTCCTCTACCGAGCAAGCCTGTGTCTGTCTATGTAGGAGACAGGGAAGCAGCGGCTTGCTTTTCTAATGGGCATTTCAGACTTTACCAACAGTAGACGCGTTAGAGGTTCTCTCTACATTAGTAGCTCATTAACACCCGTTTCCTCCCTTATCCTCTGTAGCTGGCTCTGGACATCGACAAAGACGCTGACGAACAGAACCGTTACCTGGACGGCATGGTAAGGAACCAACGAAATGTAAAAGGCACGACTGCTTTTGTGCTGGCTCTCAGCAGTTACCTTAACCGTCAAAGTTTAAAGTTAGCAGACAAAGTTAGATCCCAGCGGTCGGTTTGGCAAACCAGGGAACGTAATGAAAGCCATTTCCAGTGGACTTCTCGGTATATAAACATCAGCTACTGCTAGTATCACTTTGTCCAAATGGGTGACCCGGATGGTATCCAGCGTCGGGAAAGGCTGATGTAGGACAGCACACCTCAGAAATACAGCTGGAGATTACCTCCTTCCTAGGATTAAAGAGCTGCCTCCTGTGGCTAATGCTGGGAGATGGGCCTGTTCCTCAGCTGCTCCTGAGGTTGTTGGTCTTGCTGTATAAATCTGTCAGGGCTACTTCTGTGCCAAACACAGGCTGCCTGTCAGGACTTGGTAGTGCCCTGATGTCTTTGGAAGGAGCGAAGCTGATGCTCTGGGTCCACTCAGGTTGTTCGGAGCCTGTTCTGCCATCTTTCTGACACATAACGCCCGATAAAGCCAAAATGGCTTTCCAGAGTAATCTGATGGAAAATCACAGTGCACTGGGGAAAGGCCAGAGGAGCACATTCCTGCAGCAGAGGGGTTACCTGCTGAGGCTTTTTGGGAGAAAGGCCGTTTGTTAATGGAGCTGTGAGAGGAAGGGAGTCAAGCCCAGAAACTGGAGAAAGAGATTAGCACCGTAACGCTGGTGCTTGGGGAGGCTTTTCCGCACGTGCCGGATGTTGGAGGGCTGGTGCGTGGCAGCGAGAGAAAAGATAATTGTGGTGGTGAAACCAGTTGAGACAAAGGTGTGAGCTCAGCTTGGAAGTTTAATAACCTTGTACCCTGACAGTGTTGGAGTGTCTGAAACGGGTGTTTGCTGAGCCCGAAAATCAGGAGAACGGAGAATCAGAGTAAGAGGTACAATGGCAAAAGACCTTAAAGGAGGAGCCTTCCATCAGCATGAAATTGTGCTTCTGTTACAGAGAAGGTTTTGAAGCATTTCAGGAGCCACATGAGCAGAAGCTCCGAGTAGTTTGTGGATAAGGAAGGCAGACCAGAAGTCAAAACGAAAATGCCTGAACTGCACTAATTTGGGAATTGTTTGCCACCCTCTGGTGGAGTTGTGCACGCCTGCCGTCCCAGGCTGATGGAAAAACAGACCTAATGGCAAGAAATTGCCCCTTTTTCTGTGCCTGTGCGCCTGCCCCGGCGCGTTAATGGCGTTAATGGCAGGAGCCTCGCGTGGGGACCTCTCCTTTGGGTGAAGCCTTCACTCGTAGGGTGCTGCTAACCAGCTGTTCCCAGCAGAGCGAGCTGCATGGGGACAGTCCGGCAGCGGGTGCTTTGACCCTGTTTCAAAAAAGGGGAGGCAGTTTGGCTTGTGTTTGGAGCAGACCTTCCCCTGTCTTTTTTCCTTCCCTGTTTTGAGGGCGGTGGGAATGGTGCTGCTCCTGGAGCCTGAGCGCAGGAGGGGAAGGACTTTCTGAGAGAGACGCGATGGGTGCGGAAGGATGGGCAGCTACTGTGCTGCTCCTCTGCAGACGTTTCTTAGACAGGGAGTGGGAGCTTCCTCGGGGGTATCTTCATCTGTTTATAATGCCTCCGTCTTCATTTTCTTTCTCATTCAGGATTCAGACTTTATGAGTGTGACTGGCCTGCTGACCGGCAGCGTGAAGCGTTTCTCCACCATGACGCGGTCCGGGAGGGATAATCGCAAGTTGCTCTGTTCTGTTTCAGCGGGACTGATTGTTGTTTTCTTCATCCTCTACTATCTTGTGTCCAAAGCAGGGACTTGAGCTTGTTCTGCCAGGTCTACAGAACAAAACCCACAACCGTTGACGGACTCGTTCAATGCCTTTCTCAGGCTGCCCTGTGGTGGAGTCTTTGAGGTGTTCCAGACAGACCTTCCAAATAACTTTTGTTTCCTCCAGCTTCTTGTCATTGTTCTGGCTGGTCTCAGACATGGCTTTGTAAAAGGAGTATGTTTGATTCTAAACAGATTTTCATGTCTAACAGGATTTTGATGTTGTTAAATGCTCATGCCTTTATCTCTTGCCTTGTTGTCCATGTCTTGCGGCCTATTTTTAAGAGCCGCTTTTGTGTCACCTCCCTTGCTGATGCTCGGTGCGGGGCTTGCGAGGAGGTGGGGCTGACAAACCCAGAGACTTGTTGATGCTCAGAAGTTTAATAAACCCGTCGAGCTTTGGAAGCTGTAGAGTTTAGGGTGCTGATTTATGAGATTTGGGAGTACGAATGTGTGACTTACATTGCAGTGTGGCCACTCAGCTGGCACCTGGTCTCAGTTTCCCCTTGGCTTGGAGAGCCGTTAATATCCTTGGTGTCCCTGGGTGAAATGAAGTCCATACTGCTTTGAAATCAAATTAGCAGTAGGGCTGGAGCCTGATACTCCCTCATAGTTTCAGTGAAGAGTTGCAGAGGAGCAAAACTTTATTTAAATGCTGACTTGGTCTTCTTTGTCATCCTCTGGGTAAAGCTTACAGGCCAAAGCCCGGGAGCCACTGTGATTTACACACGTATAGCATCTTCCTGAACCTTCCCACACAGCTCCAAGTGTGCTCCCTTGGACGACTAAATCAGTGTAAAGAAAATCTGATGGCAAAGGGTCCAGTTAGTTTCCGGTACTTTGGTGCCCTGGTATTAGACCACTTTGGGAAGATGTTCTGCAAATAAAAAGCAGAGGTTGAGGTTGAGTGAAGCTCCTGAAAGGTGCTGTTGGGGTGGTGGTGGGAGGTCAGGGAAGGATTTGGTCGGAGGCTTGATTTGTTCAGGTATTCGTTCCTGTGGAAGGAACCCTGAGAAACTCCTGCGCGGCCTTTCCTCGTGCTCCGGGGATCCCTGCCCGCAGCGCTGGCGCCAGGCGCCTGGCAGGGCCCGTCCCCGCCCGGCAGGCCAGGTGTCCTCCCCCGAGGCGTGCTCGCAGCTCTGGGCTCCGTCTGCCTGCGCCCTCCTCGCCTCTCGCTGGGCTGCTCGCCCGCCACCTTCCTCCAGAGCCTGCGCACGATTGGGGCGAGAGGTCTGTGGCTTTAACAACACCGTGCTGTTGGGGGAAAAAAAGAGAAGCTGAAATAAAACGCTCTTTCTCCCTTCAGACAAACCTCCACAAACCTTTCACTTGCCAAAGCGGAGCTGCTGTGTTTCATCTTGTCTGTTTTCTGTACCAGCTGCTCATGTGTTCTGGTTTTCCCCGTTGGAAGTCTTGGCTTATTTGGTGCTGTTCTCTTCCTGTAACCACCACCTTGGCAGAACTAAAGCGCCCTCCTCTGATTTCAGTCTCTCTCCTCTCCAGCGAGGCGCTATCGTCAACGGCTGGATGTTCCCTTTGGCCTTCCCCTTGCACCCATCCAGAATTCCTTTGTCCTCGGACTAACCCAGATCTGCCAATGGGCTGTGCTCGCCTTTGTTCCAGCTGCACCAAACTGCTGACAAAATATCACCCTGACTGGATTGGGTGTCTGGTTTTTCCACATTTGGGGAAAAAACATGCAGGGAAGGCAAGTAGAAAGGAGGCAGCAATGACTTTCTCTGGTTCTTGTTCCTGCTGCTCTGGCGAGGTGTGGCAGCTCCAAACTCTTTCTGTTTGGAAAAACGATGGGTGAATTGGTGGACTTCTTCTGACTTTCTGAAGCAGATGGCTGATGAAGGGCCACTGGAACAGCCTGGTCTTCATGGCTTTGGTTTGATTTGACTCTTGTAAATAAAGCTGGGTTTAGAATTTTTTGCTCAAGTGTTTTTTCCTCGTGCTCGCTTGTTAGCGAGGCTAAATACCAAGATGAGATCACTCGGTTGTTCTGCTTGAACTGGGGAGAACCTGCTGCCTTCGAGCCCGATTCCAGTATCATCCCAGAAACAGCCCATCTCCTGCCGGGAAGGAGGAGCAGGCGTCTGCCCCGCAGCCCCGGGCCCTGCCCGCGCAGACTCGCGTCTCCGGCGTTCTCCCTGAGCAAGCCGAGCTTCGGGAGTCGAGCTGCCGGGGGAACGGTCTCTCGTGTGTCTCCGTGTTGGTCTGGGCACCGGCGGGCGCACGGAGGGGACGCGGCTGCCCACGCTCGGGGACCGGCGTCGCCCTCCCCGTCCCGGCCCCCGCGGGGGTCCCTGTCCCCGGGCACGGCAGCAGCCCGGCCGCAGGACCGG